TTATGAGTTTTTATTTTGCCTCAACGCGTTCCTTTGTTAATACATTTTAAAACAGCTTGTTTTCAATTTTTGATCTTTTAGCAGTAAAAAAAAAAGTTTAATACTTTTTGTAAATGTACTTTTTGTACAGTTCCAGGATTGTCGTGGAATTATTGTGTGATGTAATAAAAAAAATTAAAAATTAAAATAAATAAAGAATAGAACAAAATGCTTAGTAACAAGCTCTCAAAAGGCTCTATACTTCTAAGGGTTAAGTATATTTCTTAGTATAAAGAAACAAATATATAAATAAATGCACCATTGGAATGTAAAACTGTCACAATAACAAAAACATTACAGGGAAATCTGACTAAATGAACCAAACTTCAGGACATTAATAATACAAAAGTCATACAGAGAAATAGTACATTCACACCATCAAACATTTGAAACCATACCAAAGTGATCCAAATATTCCATATTTCTCAAAATATAACGAGGAGAGGCATTTAAGGGAATGAGTGAAACTGAGAGAACATGGCAAATAAAAACTAACAATTGGCATAAAATTTCACCAGCCAAGAGCAGAACAGGAGAACACCACATTAACAAATACTGTTATGCAAAATCTTTGCCACAGGATAGAAATAAACATGATACGAGTCGACAGAAATGGTAAGAAATGTGACACCAAGAAAACATGGGACTAGACATGAGAAATGATAACATACTGTTGTGAATACTGCCAGGTTCTAACATTCTAAATCACTGGACAGAATGATTCCGACCCTGACAAGCTTTTCCGGGCTTGTCAAACTAATTTCATGCTTTAACACAAATACATGAAGGTTTAAACAAGTCTGCTGGAATTTATTAGCCTTATCAGGTATGCTTTGTTAGGGTTGCAGCTAAATTGTACAGGGTGGTTACACTCCAGGATTCGTGTTGGTCAAATACCACCACAATTTTTGGTAGCGAAATAAACATAAGGTGCTATTACAATAAACATGTTAAAAGAATATTAAACCAATAAAATGTGGCCTTTAATATATAATCCACAGTCAAACTTAGTGGGACTTATTTAAACCTGCCAAAGTGTTTGATAAATGACTCAAAAAGCACAAAATATGTTTTATTTTACCAGTGTTATTTCCTTAACTTCTGGCTGCACTTCATTCCTTTGATTTTTTTATTCACTGAGGCCATAGAATTGCAGGAAGTATTCATTTAAAGCTTGAGTTTGCAACTTTGCCTTCCCTGTGTTCCTTTGAGGCCACAATGATTGCTTTGTGTGCATTGGATGATCTAGAAATACACGCTGTGTTTTTTGTCTTTACTTCCTGTTTTATTTTAATGCCTATGGCTGTAGTCATGAATTTGGGACTAATACAAAGTTTCACTGAATAATGCATGTGTCTTTGAAATAGCATAATTGATATCAATTATTCAAGTGTGTCTCCAGTGTTACGTTTCCAGAACTTCCTGCTGAGAATCTAACAGAGACAGAGGTCATGTTGGTCATACTGTTTGAAGAAAACTTCAAAACGGCGGACAGATTCAAGCTTGTTATTTACTCTCTTATGGGAATTTAAGAGAGAGCCACATCATGTGCTTTCCTGTCGATGACAGTTTAACGTCCGCTTTCAGTTATTGTTGTGATAGACATTAAAGGAGCACCTGGCCTTGTGGAACATTGCAGACTGCTCTCTGTAAGCTGCCCCCAACTAAAGTGTTTCTGGGCTTGTCATGTGGCAGTAACAAGGTCATTAACTCCATTTCAGCAAGATATTGAAACAGCACAGCAGTTGGGTCCCACAACCTCCATCTGACAATTTCATGCTCTCCGAGCCAACGGCTGTGTAAAGTAGATTGCCAAAATGCAAGGATGTGGTCATGATACATCTCAGATCCTGGATGTCTGAGTTTGCAGCATGTGGTGCATTTGTAGTAACATATATGTTGTTTTAAAACACTAAAAACATGGTTAAACAAAACATGGTCTACAATCTGACCCCTGTAGAGTTTAAACAGTATTTCTACTGATATGCACTCACCGGCCACATTATTAGGTACACCTGTCCAATTGTCTGTTAACACACATTTCTAATCAGTCAATCCCATGTCAGGAACTCAATGCATTTGGGCGTGTAGAGACATGGTAAAGATGCTCTGCTGCAGTTCAAACCAAGCATCAGGAAGAAAGTTGATTTAAGTGACCATCTCTGGGTTTACACGGAATGGTCCAAAAACTATAAAATACTCAATAAAATATCCTGTAAGCTAAGAGCAGGAAACTGAGGATACAATTTGCATAGGCTCATAAAATTTTATAAGATTGGAAAAATGTTACCTGATCTGATGGGTCTTGATTTCTGCAGCAGAGTCAGCAACATGAAAGCATGCCTTGTATCAGAGGTTAAGGCTGGTGGTGGTGATGTTATTGTGTGGTGGACATTTTCTTGGCACACTTCGGACCCATTAGTACCAATTTAGCATTGTGTCAATATTACAGCCACAGTGTACTCATCTTCTGATGGATACTTCCAAAAGCATAATGCGTCATATCATAAAGCATGAATCATCTCAGACTTGTTTTTTGAACATAACAATGACATCACTGTACTCAAATGGCCTCAAGAGTTACGAGATCTCAATCCCATAGAGCACCTTTGGTATGAGCTGGAATGGAAGATTTTCATTATGGATGGGTAGCCGGCAAATCTGCAGCAACTGCGTGACTCTATCATGTCAGTTCTGAATGCAAAAGAGGATCCCACCTGGTAGTTTTCTAATAAAGTGGCCGGTGAGTTTAACGTTGTAATAAATATAAAAGCTCACTTCAGACTGCTCTTATGCCTTATGATAGGAGATTAAATACATCTAAAAGCACTAGTTAACTTTCAATGGATAGAGACTCATAAATGATTATTTATATCACCAGGTGAAGTAGATGCAATAAGACTCCTGCAAATGAATAGCAATGGAGGGAGGTAGTGAGAAGGAGGAGAAGGGGAGTAGAGGGGGTGGAGCGAGGGGAAGGTCACAGTGCTGCTCTGCATGAGAAAGATGTTGGCATTGTCGTTGGGATTCTCTGCACGCTGGCCGGATATTACCTCTTTCTTCACATGTCATTCCAAGCCATTCCATCAGGACATGCAAAGCTAAGGAGCCTGTCTAACTTGCTCATGAGTCAGAGTGAAAGGATTCGATTTTTATTTAAGCCTGTAATCATGACTCCTCAAAGCAAACTCACAGAAAAGAGCTGGTCAACACCGTCAGGGGTTTTAAGAAAGCTTTAGGGATCTATATCCCTTGCATATTTAAGGAATAAAAAAACATTTTCCCATAAATAATCGCAGTAATATAATTTTTATTGGTACATTATGTGATATTCTTTGACAGTAGCAGTTTATTTTATTTGGTTTGAGGCTGTTACCTGGTAATTGAATCATTTGTTGAGGTTTTGGTTCCTAATACAACATCATAAGAAACGAATTTGCCACATGTAGATAAAGGAATTTCAGCAAAAACAATTGTTAGAAATCACTGTTCACTTTAAGTACATTTTGATTCTATGAGTCACTGCATAATCCAACATTTTTTGCAACCTTATTTTCAGACTTTTTTTTAGACCCTTTTTAATAAATATCTGTACTTAATCCTATAGAAATTTAGAACTGGGCTTTTCTATTTATAGATTACGTACTGATCCATCAAATTCATTGTCATAGCAAGTTGTTTAAGTCCAAATTGTCAGGAACCTATTGAAACACACGCCAGCATTGCTTGTTTCCAATCAGACCACTTGAAACAGTAGCATCCCATGTGTGTTTTGCAGGCCGAAATAGACTTCTGGGTATGGTGCAACAACCGGTTTTGTAAACCCCTTTTCAGGGGGTGTACCCTTTAGCTATACTTCTTTTTTTAACCCAATTTGAATATGGTTTTATCGATTTGCAGGGCTTGATGCTTAGTTCTGATTTGATGTCTATGTGAAGTGTAAATGATGGAGGCACGCAATATATGCGTAATGGTAGCTCTTTGCAATGTTAAATAACCATGTGATGTTGAAGCACAGAAGTATTTTTTCCTCTTCCATGTTCAACCATTTGTTGTTATTTGAAGCGGCCACACTCACAGATGACATCATTAAGCCGCTGCATACTTCATACTAAATCATCTCAGTTTAGTTTGCAATGCATCTAATTATCTGACTTATTTTCACATATGAATGAGTTCTGATTCTGGTATTAAAATATCTGGATATTTGCATTTTTCCCAGATCTGATCATAGATCAGATTCAATCAGTCACATATGTGAGTCACATATGACACACATTTGGCTGGAAGTGTAAAATGGGACCTAAGTTGAGCCAAATAGATACCTTTTTTTCCGAATGGAAAGAACAGTGACATAAAATTCTATTGATCTTCAGTTGTTGAGTTCACTGATCAGTCAGAAAAAACTATCACAGTATGCGTCATTACAGTGTGCGAAGCCAAAATACGGTATAACCATCCATCTTTTAAGTTGAGCCTGTTATTGAGTGACATGTCTAAAACAAGCCCACTCCGAGCCATTAGTGGAAGTAATTCCAAGCACCAGAAACATATCGTAACGTGGTTTGGATTTTGACTTATTACTCAGCTCAGTTTTGAAAACTATGTACAGAGCTATAGATGATTTCAGATGTCCTGTGTAGACTCAAAAGCATTGTTACGAGGTGCTGAGGGTTCTGTTTTGTGATGCTACTTTTGATTAAAGTGGCCCTATTATGCAATTTTTAAAGCATTAATAATAAATATTTTGGCCCTCTATACTAGCACTGCATCGAATCTTTCAAAATGCAATATTAAACGTAAAAAACATCTTTGAATCACCTCTTATTTTTTTTGCCGCTGCAAAAAACACTGTTTACCCCTGTTCCTGCCACAACCATGCGTTTCTTTTACATTAAATTTACATCTATGCTTTTGGCAGACACTTTTATCCAAAGCAACTTACATTTGAATTAACACATCCGTTCCCTGGGATTTGAACCCATGACCTTTGCGTTGTTATCACAATGCTCTACCAACTCACAGGAGTCACAGGAAAGCTTTCCCCATGACCCTTCTGAGACTTGTAGTTTGGGAATCATGGGTAATGTAGTGCATCATGGCCACCATTCTCAAATAAAGTTGATCAAATAAGAATTTAGAGTTTTCTGTGTGTCACCTGAGCTGGAAAGGAACTTAAATTAAGACCAAAATGTATCGAAAGTCTCATCACTTTACAAGCTAATGAATCCACCACAAACATGTAGCTCTCGAGCTGTTTGAATAAGATAAAGTTAATTAACAAAGTTTGGATCTATTTCATGCAATTATTGTAGGGTTCATAACCGGGAATGTGTTTATTCTTTCTAATGGTGTTCGTTAACATTTTTAACTGATTTCAAATCAACTGATTTTGACAGCCCAAATCTATTATAATGTAATTATATTACATTATAATCGACAGAAAACACACTTAAAATCTGCATAGAGATGAGCTGTACCAGCAATCAATCCGATTGGTCAGTGGGCGAAGGCAAGAACTATGGGCGTTGCAAGGAACATAGAGCTGTTTTCATCTCACAAAAAAAGGAATATAGGATTACACAAACATGCATGAAAGATTCTGAATAAACCTGAGGTATGTTTTTGAAGAATGAACTACGTATGTCGAATTTATCATCGGGTGACTTCTATGATAACCTCCTAAAGGTAGCACTAGGAGCAACAATGTCATACGTGACAAACATGTAGAGGTTTGTTATGCAATATGTCTAAACTCAACCTTGGTCTATACTGAATATAGGAAGACTGATCATGCAAAAATGAGGTTGAAGGTAACAATGCCCTTCATGGTCTCCATGGCCATGGTTAGTCGATTCGAACCATTAGATTGTTATTAGTATTCCACAAGGATCATCTATTGATCTCCTTCATCTGTGAGTTTCCGAGGACATCAAATACGAGGCAAAAGCTGCTTAGCTTGATGCATAGGCCAAGAGAGATGCAAGAGGGAGGGAGTTGGGCTGGATAAAATGAGTGAAAGATAAAGAACACCAGAGCTGATGAAGTCAAATCTACGTTTTAAAAATCCTGAGCGCAGCAGACGAAGAGCAGACATACAGAAATTTGCTCTTATTCACCGGTTTTCACTCAAGTCAAGCTGAGCTTAATTTCGGGGAAGAAAAACTCACTGTAACCCTTTCGTCATCCTCCAGCATCTTCTCCATTTCTCCTTCAAATCTCTCAATCTCCAGTGGCAAGCAGAAAGGCTTCAGTCAGCCGTTTCTGCTTGGCTAGCCTCAGTAAATCAATCCTGCTGATTGGGTCTGCTCTCTGACAGGGCAAGGACCCTGACGAAGACTAAGAGAGATGTATACATGTCGCTCCTGGTTACAGTCACATGGCACCGTTTGGTTGGATTGGTGGGAAGGGATGTAAGTAAAAAGGAGACAGATGGGAATGGCGAGGGTCTGTTAGAAAGGGGCTCATTTAAAGTTTAAGCCCCAAGACATGATGTGTTTTCTGCCATCTCAGGCCGTGACATTTTGAGTATAGCTCTGTGGATTCTGCTTTAAAGTCTGCGCGTAGAGATTTGCATGCCGGAACATATGCTGTATGTTGAGCGGAGCTTGATGCATCTTTACTTTCAGAGTACCTTTGGGGACAGTGTTAAGTTCATCAGTCATGCAAATGAATGCACAGTTGATGAGTAGCATAATCTACCTCCAGCCCTCCTGAGAGCATTGCTTTCAAAGAAATAGTATGATGAGATTTCTCCTTGTACTCCAGGACAACCAATCAAAACTGCATTATTGAGTTGCATACTACATTTAGACATTTCACACTCATCCTGTCATTTTTGGTATCTTCTTTCTTCTTTGGCAGGAGAATTTCAACCCAGAGTGCAAATTCAAAGAGAGTGTGTTTGAGAATTACTATGTGACCTACTCCTCAATGCTGTACCGCCAAAGCCAGTCTGGACGTTCATGGTACATCGGCATCAATCGGGATGGTGAAGTGATGAAGGGCAACCGTGTGAAGAAGACCAAAGCGGCCGCACACTTCCTACCTAAAGTCCTTGAAGGTTAGATCCAGCTTTCAATTACACATTTTCTTTTAGAAAATACTGATTGACGTGGTTTTGAACAGTCAGCGTTCTCAAGATATGGTGATAACACTTTTAGCTAGCTTACCATAGATTATTGAACCCAATTAGACCAGTAGTATTTAAGTGTACAACTATCAATGAGGGGCGGCGCAGTGGGTAGCACTGTGTACTCCCAGTTAGAAGGACTTATAAGTCCTGGAAGGAGCTTGCATGTTCTCCCCGTGCTTGCGGGGGTTTCCTCAAGGTACCCCCACAATCCCCAAAACAAGTGGTTTTGAGTTTCTGTATTAGAAAATTTTCCTATGCAAAACTCCTTAAAAGATGTGCTGTGTTGTAACAGCTGAAAATAAAAGGGGGCCAAGAAAACAACAATGTTTAAATGACATGGTTGAAACCAGTAAATGTTCATCAATAACTAGCTTGAAACAAGTTCAAGTCTGGCTCCACCAGGTGTTACTTAATCCACATTGGCCCAGATAAGTATTTTACCCCTTAATGTTTTTGTAGACATAGACATTAGCCCAATAATTCAATGCCAGCATTTATTTCAACAGCATAGCAACAACTTCCAGTGTCACCATTTTAGTGTTATAATTGTGAAATAATTATTTGACCCTCTATTAATCATCAAGATTTATTGCTTGAAGAGGTAATCTGAAGAGATTCTCTCATGCAGTAGCCATTTAAATTTGACCTACAGAATCAGTCCACCTTGATAAAGACCATATAGCTGTCCAAGGATGCCAGGGAGATGGTTGTAAACCTACACAAGCAAGTAATGAGTACAGGACCATTGCCAAATGTCGTGAAGGCGACAACACTTGGTGAGATTACAAAAAAATGAAGAAACACAAACAACTGGAGCTTCAATCATCATGAGAATGTTTGGGAACCAGCACAGAACTACATGGTGGGATTTTGCCAAATTTCCATCATGTTGGGACAAGGACTGCCGCTTATAAACCCTAAAACTCCATCCCACTGTTAAACATAATGGAGGAAATGTTTTGCTTATTCCCTTTCAAAGGGACAATGGATGGAGCCATGATACGTCTATTTTTGGGTAAAACCTCAGCCTTTGTTCAGGACAATAGCAATCGGGTTGTGAATTAGTAGTACAGCGTTACAATGACAACAGACAGCTAAGGCAAAAACGATGTGAACCCAGAAGAAACAAAGGTCATGGAGTGGTGTAGGCAGTCTCCAGACCCTATTCCTTTAGAAAACCAATGGAGAGAACCTTGGCGGCTGCAGCTCCAGGACTTTTTCTTCATGTCATTGTCTCTTAAGAAATGGTTTGAGGTGTTAAGATCTTGAACATCAATATGTACTTAAGACATTTATAAATGTGAATGGTCATTGCCAGTGGTTTATTTGCTGATAAACAGCAAAATAGAACATTCCATTCCTAAAATTGTTTTAATTTTAGTTTTACCTGAGAAACTCATATTTGTTTCTACACAATCACTGCTTTTAATGACACCAGTGTCTTTGTTCTTTTTGTTCCCTCAGTGGCTATGTACAAGGAGCCTTCCCTGCATGAGCTTGTAGCAGAGCAGAGTCCTCCTCGCAAAACCGTAAAGACTTCCGACTCCCCTTCCCACCAAAACGGCAGGAACGAGGCCCCCAGGGCTGATGCTTCATAGCACAGGGGGCTACACAGGGAGGGTGAGGGACTACACTGACAACAAGAACTCCAGTTTTCCCTACGAAATGAGGGCTGGGGGAGCAGCAAGGCTGCTGGTTTTCAAAAAGGGGCGAAATCACACACCAGCCCATGGCTTTCTACAAGGAGAGGAGAGTTCCTGCCTCACTGTGCTAAAACCAGCTAACAAATTAATCCAATGACCCGGCATGACACCTAACCCTGCATACAATTCCATAATATCATAATTAACAGGTACCTGTGGCCCCTCATGACCTACTTGAGGTCTCACACTGTCAGACAAGAAATGTGAACCGTTTCCTTCTTAGACGAAGATTTCAGTAAAGAATAAAGAATGTTGGTATTTGAGTGAACAAAAGATATATAATATCCAACATCCCAATAATGAGTTAGGCAAAAGAGTCCCCTTATTTGTAGCTATTACACTGGGAGCTCTGTGCCAATCAGAACCTGAAAATGGAGTGAAATAATTGTAATATTGCCACTGGTTTGGTCAGAGTTCCATTCCATTTTATTCCATTCTATAAACAATTCTGATGACATTTACAATAAGTTTAGATCCATGAAACAAAACAAAACAAAACAAAGTTCTCTTGTGAGAACTCTATTCATGTTTAATTGCCACTGGGCTCGAGGCGGCATCCATAAGATTGCCAAATGCTTGGAGATTATTCAGGGCAGTTGTTTGATGAAATACGTAAAGGAGATAACATGGAGTCCGTCCATGATGGCTTGAATTATTTACTACTTGTTCCCAGGAACGTTGAGCGCATTCAAGCAGCTCGGACGACAGATTTTAATATGCAAATTTAAATTGTGATGAGCAAGTAAATGATAAAATGTTTAGAAGAGTGTGAAAGAGACAGAGTGACGTGAAATGAACATCTGCTTCCTATATTTATTTATTTATTTATTTATTTATTTAGAGAGAGAGAGAGAGAGAGAGAGAGAGAGAGACGGTCTGGGGGCACATGTGTAAATGCATTGGCTCGCACACCACAGTTGATCATTTTAATGGTTCGGTCTAGTCTGGGCATTTTAATCTGCCTGGAGATGTTGACTGATGACTGTCTGCAGGTTTCATAATTGACACGTAACCAGGAGGAAGGGCTGTGACATCTGAAATCTCTTTGTGATTCCGCAGGCATTGTTACAGGACTACACGCCACATATAGATTTTTTGCAACATTTCTGTTTACTTTAGGGTTCGTTAACCATTGTTCATTCTTTGGTTAGTCTGAGCTGTGTGGAAAATTTGAGGTCACCTCAAATGTCCTTGGTCAGTG